CACGCTGGCCTTTATGTGTTTGCTCTGGGACTCCAGCAGCTGATCTCAAACCAGCTTGGCTGCTGGTTTTTAGGACAGGGTGACAGTTTGGGTGAGAGAGAGAAAAGGATGGAAAGGTCAGAAAGGACGAACTGGAGGAAGTGGCAATGTCATGGCCAAGACCACCTCACATGTTTGCTTTCTGCTGCATTTTGGCTCATGAGAAACATAAAAGTGTTTTCTTATTATGCTAAGTTAATCGCATAATATACCAGGGGTGTTTCTTTATTTGAGAGTCAAAGTGTTTCAATTTGCAGGACATTAAAATACAGGAAATGCTGGGAAGAATCAAACATTGTCACTCGGTCAGATATTTAGCATGTCTTAAAATCTCGTCTTCCTCCAGCTCATCTCTGCATCCATCCCGTATCACCAGACGCTAAAGTCAGGAGGTGTTAGGCCCCTCTGCCATTTGCTGCGCCTTGTGTGGACGTATCGTCACTCAATAGCTTAACAGCTGCCAATACACAGGCGCTCTGGGCTGGGATCAGACGGCTGTGGGGTCTATAAAGAGCCCCCCCGCTATGGGCCGACGAGAAATCTCACACCTTTCCCTGCATTAGCCATGCAATCTTCCCTTTTGATGCTCTAACTGGCCACTTTAAGTGCTTAGGTACGGCTGTCAGGGGGATGATGAGGACATTAAACTGGATGATTTTTGGATGATATGTGTCTGCATGCATGCTCAAATGGGGAAAAACTGTACAGTAAGGCTAGTAAGGCTAGAGTAAATGAATGCAACAATCATACTAAGCTAGCACTGGATACCATGCATGCATTGTACAGGATTCCCCCACTGTTTGTTCCATGAATTTCCATGATTTTTATCCAGTTGTTCATGATCACTGGATAAAGGACCATTTCTAGCCAATCCATTTAAAAAAATTTTTTTTTTTAGAATTAAACAATTAGGAAAAGGTATATTCAGAACTTGTAAGGATTTAACTACTTCCCATTTTTATTAATTCATTTTATTCAATTTATTGTAATTTTTTTTAAATGACCATTTTAAAATTCCTTCTTAGTTCTAGGTGTTTCCATGATGGTGGGAACACAATTTTTAAAATAAAAACTGTATTTGTTTGCATATAATTTGATTGTAGCTAAAACAGTAGAGCATGACGCTATAGCAACACCAAGGCCGTAGGTTCGATTCCCAGGGAAATTCATGACAAAATGTACACCTTAAATGCAATGTAAGTAGCTTTGAATAAAAGCATCTACCAAAAGCATCAATGTAATGTAAATGCAAATTTCCTGGACTTTTCTTGGATAATTTTTAAAAAAATCTTTACATTTTTAAGGTTTTTCATTTCCAAAGGGGAATATTGTTTTAATATTAGTAGTTTCAAAGGCCTATATGTGTGACCAGGTTCAATTACCTATACTGTAGTGTTATTTTAGTATTATTTATGTACCTTTCTTATAGAATGTATAGTAATATTTTGATTTTTTTACATTTTCAGTTTTAGCAATTTAAGTTAAGTAAAATAGTAGTATTTTATAGTAGTTTATTCTAATTACTATTTTTATTCCAGTTTTATTATTTTAGTACTTAGTTATTTCGTTTAAATTAGGTGCCAAAGCTAAATTTCTAATGTTCATTTAAGTTTTTAAGTTAAAGTTTCTAATCTTGTTTTATATATACTGTATATATATATATTGTTTAGTATTATTTAGATGCTGTTTTTATTCCAATATATTTAGCATTAAAATGCCATCAACAGGTCAGAACATGTTGTCATTGATTACATTTGAGCATATACTACAAGAAATAGCCCGAGGCTGCTTGTGATTGGTTCATTCACCTGAACAAAAGGTCAGTTCACTTACAGTGCTCACCTAAACTGCCTCAAACAATGACCCAACATAACTACAGAACTACATAATGGCTTTAATATAGATCAAAGTTCAAATATACATTATGACTCATACGTATTCAGACGGATGGAGGCCAGCAGACGCACAGGAGGCAAACAATCACCACCTACCCCCACATCCCCTAAAAAAAAAAGATCTGACACACATTTGGTCCCGTATGTAAGAAAACAAACCCTCAGTGTAGTGTGCCTGACAAAGGGACTAAATGACACATTGGCAGCACTTCATAAGAAACCTCTGGGAGCTGCTAATGGGTCTTAATGGCCTTCCTCAAGTCTGAGGGCTTCACACCAGCCTGGACTCTGCCTTTGACATGGCCTGGCTAAAAGAGACGGGGTGGTCTTCGGCCCAAGAGGATTACAGGACGACTTTGAGATGATGTCATCATTTCCCTTAACTCCCTTCATGGAGGCTAATGTCAAAAAGTGGAGAGATTTTATAGAAAGAGCATGTATGCGTATAAAGAAAATCATCGACGAATGGGTAACTCGTAGTAAGGCACTGAAAAATAATGATATCCGAATGGGACTGGATCAAGTGTAATCACGGACATGAACACTAAAGCACTGCAAATAGTCCAGCTGTATAGAATGTATTATATTAGTAACAGCAGAAATAATTTTAGTATTCAAGAAGGCAATAGAGTTCTGTGCAAGAAACATAGAGAGTTGGTTGAACACAACTTGCACAAGTGTCTGCAATGAATGGAAGAAGGGATACTGGTCTGTAGTTTTCTAAAAGTGCTGGATTTAGAAAGGGTTTCTTAATCAGTGGGGTTACCCGAGCCTGCTTAAATGCTGTGGGAAATATACCAGTGTGAAGAGAGGTGTTGATATTGTGAGTGAGCGCATGTATAACTGAAGAAGAAATGGCCTAAAAGGAGGTGAGTGGGGATAGGATCAAGCTGACAGGTAGAAGGATGATTGGAAAGAATAAGTTTGGAAACGTCTGCCTCCAAGAGTGGAGAGAAGGAGGAGAGAGTGTGTGTACTTGTTGTAGTGATGTGTTTGTCAGTTTGTGGTGTGGAAAATTGGCTGCTGATTGTTCTCGTTTTATTTATGAGTATTGCAAAGTATATATATACAGGTGCATCTCAATAAATTAGAATGTCGGTCTTATGGAGTATTCTAATTTGTTGAGATAGTGAGTTGGTGGGTTTTTGTTAAATGTGAGCCAAAATCATCACAATTAAAAGAACCAAAGACTTAAACTACTTCAGTCTGTGTGCATTGAATTTATTTAATACACGAGTTTCACAATTTGAGTTGAATTACTGAAATAAATGAACTTTTCCACGACATTCTAATTTATTGAGATGCACCTGTATATATATATATCTCTCTAAAGCGGTACTGAACTGCAGTGGAAACGCAAACCGTGTCAAGCCGAACCGTGCCATGCCGTACTGAGCCGAGTCGTACCACGCAGTGGAAAAGCGCCATAAGTCTAGTCTAGTCTAAGTGGTTTATGCAACTGGCCACTGATTGGACAAAAATCTGTGTAGTGCAGGATGAGTCATCAATGCTTTTTTTTTGGAAGATAAATATTTAATATATAAATACAGTACATTTTAAAGGTTTATATCTGCTATGTTTTAAGTCACTGTAATAGAAGTATAGTGAAAGATCTTTTTCTCCAGATTGTGACGTACTTCCAAAAGAGATCATGGAAAAATAAAGAAACGTAGTGCAGGACTTAGTTCAATCCACTGGTTGTTGATTGGATGGAAGCAGACATGAGCTTGCAGTCATAAAGGATGGAGTTCCAACTGATTAAATGACTGGAAAAGTCCTGCATTCATAACCAGAGAAAAGTCAGTAAGTCATCATATTTTTATAAACATATACTTGAATTGTTCAGAATATCAATAACATGCATTCACGAAATAGAGTGAACTGTCATTTCATGTTGATGTGTACTCTAGCATATAGCTCAAAACTCTAATTTTGATTTCATAAGGTCTTTGTAATCTCAAAAAACAAACAACAAAGATCAGGTAAAAATGTAAGTGTATTTTTGGTTTTGTGATATCATCAATGCAGCAAGTCAGAAATATCAACCTTCTCAGAAAAAAAAGCCTGAGGATAGTAATACCCCATAAATCTCCAAAGAGCACAGAACACCTCTCATCTTTAGAGAAGAGGATATATCCATCTCTGCCGCTGTCTTACATTCTTAACACAAGCATAGAAGACAGCATACAAAAGACAACAACAAACAAAATATTATTTTACAAAGAGGAAAAAATAGAAACATCTCTTTATCTGTTTACAGGTAGTTTGGTCACACAAGCTCATTGCATCGACACATTTCATCCCTTCAAAGTCTTTTCTTCTTATATTGAAAAATTCTGCACTCAAAAAAATACTGGTAGCTATTTATCCATCTACAAATAGAAAATGTTCGATAAAAAAACATTCCTCCGTCTAAATTTTTCTTTATAACAGAACTGGAAATGATCTGGTGGGGAAACACGACCAGCACCACCATGAGCGACGTCTACATACAGACACGTCACGAGAAAGTCATTCACTTGAAAAGAAAATCACCAATGTCCGGGCAGACATGCTGTTAATGCTCCAAGATAAAGCAGTGCTATACTACAAACTGAAACAAAATCCCACATGTCAAGAACTTAACCTCAGTATAACGAATGTCTGGGCACTTTACTTTGGTTAAAGGGACAGTTTACCCAGAAAGTAAGTTTCTGTCTTTATTTTCTTACCATCTTGTCATTATAAATTCCAAAAGGAGATGTTTGGCAGGATGTTCATGCTTCTCTTTCCCATACAATGAACATGAATGGTGACCAAAGGCTCCAGCAATATAAACGCAGTCCATATGGCTTGTGCGCTATTTTTCAAGACTTCCAAAGCCATTTGATAGTCTTGAGTAAAGAACAGACCAAAATGTAACTCATTTTTCACTGAAAATCAAATGTCTTGATGTACCATATTATAACAAATGTCAATGAGAGAAAAGAAGTACTTACATTTCAGTCTGTTCCTCTCGCAAAAGTATCTAATGACTTGGAATATAGTGTACAATGTCATACAGACTATTATTTTGGTGCTTTTTTAATTTTTGGAGCCTGACAGCCTCTGGTCTCCATCCACTTTAACTGTATGGAAAAGAGCAGCATGAAAGCTCTGCTAAATTTCTCCTTTTGTGTTCCATAAATAAAAAGGAAGCAATACAGGTTTGGAACAATATGAGTGTAGTAAATGATAAAAGAACTGCCAAATGTTGGGTGAACTTTCCATTTAACCATTTAAAGGTTATTTTAAAAAGCCAAAAATAAGGGATCAGCACCATTTTTAGGCCTTTTCACATTTTCTTTTTTAAAAAGCATCTGTGATTCAGACATCTTGGCATAATCCTTGAAAAAACAAAACAAACAACATTAAGTCAATTCTTCTGTAGCTAGTTAGATCACATTCACATTTCAATTGTGATATGAATAATAGTCACATCTTCTCAGTGCTGGTGACGAGGCTGACATGCTTCACCCTTTCAGCCGCAGTTGTTTATCATTCTCAAATGGAAAAGTAATAAAACTACAAATGAAAACATGAAATCAGATCAGAAATGTGAGACACGAACAGTAATACAACTGAAATGGAACTTGTGGTGGCTTAAATACTCCAAAATGTGATATTTACACAACCAACAGATTACCAATACAGTAATGTATAGAAATAAAAAAAATATATCTAAATTGAAATCTTGTGGTGCTGTGAAGAATCATACATTTGTAGAACTCCCTTTTAAAAAGCCAGTAGCTAAAGCATGGACAACCGATCAAGCATGATGCTCCACTGTTTGTGTAAGCAGCAGAGCTCTGAAAAAAGAAGTCAAAGCACACGCACCAACACATACGCAGGAAAACAGAGATACACGTCCACACGGCTGTAAAAAAAACCGGTCACGTTTGCATGCTGACGTCTCGAGGTGCTATTCAACGTTTGGTTGCAATGCCACTGAAACTTGGTAGTGATATGACTCGTGTTTATTTTACACCGCAGAACTGACCAAACGTCAAGCGCAATTTACTTCCTCTTAAATCTGTAAACAACGTCGTGATGGATTTAATGCCCAGGAAACTCTGAGTGAGTAAATTGCATTACACAAACTGTCAATATTACATAATGCATCCTTTAGGAAATGATTTTGTACTGACTTTGCATGATTCCACTGTGGTTTAGCTGTGACCATAATTTTCGTAGCTGCTGGAGTAAAAATGGCACTTTGCAGGATTGTACACAACAACAAAAAAAACAAAAAACAGCAGAACGGCATAAAAACCCAGTCCATGCTTAGCAGCAGAGGAGCAAAACCAACAGGACACGAGTGCCAGGGTAGGAAAAAGCCCTTTCGCTGAAAAACGTGCATATAGCGGAGAAATCGCGCTATAGAAAAACAAACGAAGACAAAACCGTCAACGATTAGTTGCAGCTACACAATTAATAAAGGAGATTTTGCTTCAGAGCTCAGCTTGAGAGTTCTGCAGCAGTGCGACTCAAAGCTTGACAGTTCAAATGTCCATGTAGTCGTCTTCCTCATCCGACTCGCTTTCAAGAGAGGACTCCTGACTCGATGTCTCTTGCACCTCTAAAGCGGGCTGAGCAAGAGTGTCTTTCTTCACGTTAGCTGCCGACTGAGAGGACAGGATCACATTCTGACGGGAACAAACCAGACAAAGAGAACATTTTAAAAGAGCATCTGATGATCTACAGGGGCCCCCAAAAAGATTTAAAATGCCACAAGTGTTCAAATATGTTTTGAGTCATTGTATCTGTTGATGTGTCAATATTGCAAAGAGCTTATCCGCTTCACTTTGAAATAGGAATGAATATCAGTGACGAAAAAATACCAACCTTGAGTTTCTGTTTGGTCTCCTCAGAGATGCTACCCTTCGGGGAGAGCAGGGTGGGTGTGGGGGGCGTGACTGTTATCTCTGGGGGGAATTTAGTGACTGTGGAGGGGATCACCAGTTTGGGCATGTTGGGAGGAATTCTGGACCGGATGCGATTTGCATCTCCCTGCTTTGACTGGTCACTTTCTATAAACAATCATTGACACACACACAAAAAGTAATTTCTTAGTTTAGATGGCTTTATTATTATTCTAAAAATGTGGAAAATTCAAGTAGAGAATAAGTAGGTGTTATATAATTATTTTAATTATTGCATTAATTCTATTTAAATATCAAATATGTATATTTACAATAATATTTATTTATTCATTACACTAACGTTTAAAAGTTTGGGGTTGGTAAGATTTTTTTGTTTGTTTGTTTATGAAAATTCTCTTAGGCTCATCAAAGTTGCATTTATTTGATCATAAATACGGTTAAAACAGTAATATTATTAAAATTTCAAATAACTCTTTTCTATTTGAATGTATTTCAAAGTGTAATTTATTCCTGTGATCAAAGCTGAATTTTCAGCATCATTACTCCAGTCTTCAGTGTCACAGGATCCTTCAGAAATCAGTATAATATGCTGCTCAAGAAACATTTATTATTATTTTAAGTGTTGAATCAGTTGTGCTGCTTCATATTTTTGTGGAAACTGTGAAACTTTTTTCAGGATCCTTCAATGAATATAAAGTAGGGATGTTCATTTTAACCGGTTAACCGTTAACCGACCGTGAAGAATTTTGACCGATTAATACAATCAGTTAAACGTTTATAAAGTCTTTTTTTTTTGTAGTAATTTATCAAAATATTTAAAAAGGTTTGCTGCATGGTTGAAATACGCTACGCGCATAAAAAAAAGTGTGTTTTTTTTAGAGGAAAAAAAAACAAGTCACGTCTGAGTCACATTTTATTATTTCATTCAGAAATAGGCCTAACGAAACTACTCCTTTTAGTCCTAAAGATAATCTGAATTGTAAAAGGTTTGCCTTTATTTGTGTACATTCACAATAAAAACAAATCTTTGTGCTTTTGTAAAATAAGCCTAAAGAAAAATAGGATGCCGCTTTCTGCTTTCTGGTTTCCTTTCACGCAGCACAAAAATGAACCGGAACTCTGCATACTCGGCTACTTGTTGCACAGTTTTTCTTTCGTTTTCTTAATTTATTATTTAAGTAAAAATATATTTCTCGTATAGACCTATTTATTCGTTATAAATATGTAGCCTAGCTTTTTTATGTTTTTCTCCGCTGGCAGAAGCGCTGCAGGTGTGTGATGTGATGTGATGATCATGTGAATCCTCATGTTCTGTTGTTTGCTGCTTTTTGCGCATGTAAAATTAATCCCCGGGAAACAAATGTTAGTATTTTTTTTACGGGTCACAGACACTTATCCGTTCTAATTTAATTCAATTCTAATTTAAAATAATCTTGTCAGTTAATGGTTAACAATCGGATAACGAGTGTCGGTTGTCGGTTAGGAAAAGTAACCGAAATTAACATCCCTAGTATTCGTATTTACATAGCTTTGACCGTTCTCTGTAGACCCCACCTTCCCATGTGACACGGCTCGATTATATACAATGCCTGCACGTCATTGGTCAAACTACTATATATTTCTCGTATAGGCCTATTTATTCGTTTTATATATATAGCCTAGCTTTATTATGTTTTTCTCCGCTGGCAGAAGCGCTGCAGGTGTGTGATGTGATGTGATGATCATGTGAATCCTCATGTTCTTGTTTGCTGCTTTTTGTGCATGTAAAATTAATCCCCGGGAAACCAATGTTAGTATTTTTAACGGGTCACAGACACTTATCCTTTCTAATTTAATTCAATTCGAATTTAAAATTAAGCTTGCCGGTTAACGGTTAATAATCGGTTAACGAGCGTCGGTTGTCGGTTAGGAAAAATAACCGAAATGAACATCCCTAATATAAAGTTCACAAGAGCAGCATTTTGTAACACTATGAATGTCTTTACTGCCACTTTTGATCAAGTTAATGCATCCTTGCTAAATAAAAGTCTTCATTGCTTTAAAAAAAAAAATTTAAATCTCAAAAAACGTGAGCAGATGTTACCTGTGCTGGTTTGTGTTGAGCAGGACGGGGGCTCGTGACTGTGAATCTGAGAGACGGTGGTCATCTTCATCTGCTGGCACAGATGGGACTCCTGCTGGCGGTACAGCAGACCCTCAGTAACCAGCTCCTCTCTGTCCTCTACACATACAGACACATCAGAGACACGTGCCATTAATAAACACATGGTTTAGGCCGTCAAATCTGAACGGAAGGCCACATTCAAACCAGTTTTAATGCATCAATTATATTATGCATATCAGTGTTATTTTAGAATTATTTACAGTACATACTATTATAGTATGTATTCATATTTTAAGTTACTTTTATTTTTAAATATTACATTTTAATTTGACGTTTACTTTTAGTAATTCTGTTGTTTGCTTATATTTTTTACATTTCTAGTTAGCTTTATTTTTATTTCGGTTTTAGGTTTCAACTTTCAAACTTAGTTTCATTTCAAGTTTTTTTTAAATTTAAGGTTAACATTTTTCAAATATTTATATTTTATTTCATTTTTTTTTTTTTGATAGCTTTAGTTACCAACATTGATGCATATCACCACTAATACACATTGGTGAAGGACATTTATAATATCTGCATCTATTTTTCAGTCTTCACTAAAGTGTCAGTATAAAATGTGTCTGAGATACAGTGTTGTTAAGGATTGAGGTTCGGTTACTATGGTTGTGAGAATGACAACATTATTTAATTAGCTTAAATCAATAATACAGTGCCAGATATAGCATGTCTGTGTGCATCTAAGTATGTTTATGATGACTATGCATGTTTACAGCTAACGTCATTTCATGAGGTAAATTAATTTTTGACGAGGTTTAATATGGTACAAACTGTGACTGCATTTCAAAGACTGAGCTGACCAGCACAAATGTGATTATGTAGTAGTGCATGCATTTTTATTTGGCCTCAAGGACACACACAGGGCCTTTCAGCCGTATACATGCACACTTAACGCAATCATGTACTTGGGCACTTCATCCTTGTTTCCTTAGCAACTGAGCATGAAGCACAGAACATATCAGCCTAAACTAGACACAGCGAACACCAGTCCGTCTGAGTGTGTATCTTAGAGGAAAGTGAGACAGACACAACTTGCTGTATTAGTAATGAAAATGTTGTTGAAGTTATAAGCTGCATGTTGATGCCCAGCATGCAGTGGTTACATAAAGTTACATAAAGTGAACAAACACGCCCTCTGCTGGACACATGCGGAGTGTCAACCAAAGCAGCATCTACTAAAAAGGGTGTGTTTGAAATAATATACAGGTACTACCATACTACTTTCATATAGTATGCAGTGTACTGTGCATAGTCCGCAACTTTTTAGTATGCGTACAATACCCACATGACCTACCACCTTGCCAAAATGTGTAGTATACAACGGAGCAAACTTCATGGAATAATGTATCCCACAATGCAATGCTCTCAACTTGACCTTCCAAGTGTGATTAATGACTTTTTTCTTTTTATTATTCTCATTATTTGTTGGGACTGTCAAATGTAAAGTTTACAAAATTGAAATAAAAATGCAAAACAACCATATTTAGCATTCAAAAGTTTGGGGTTGGTAAGTTTTTTTTTTTAATGTTTTAGAAAACAAGACTCTTATACTCACCAAAGCTGCATTTATTTGATCAGAAATAAATTTATTATTATTTAATGTTTTCAGTATTCTTTGATGAACAAAGTATAAAAGAACAGCATTTATTTGAAATAAAAACCTTGTAACATTGTAAATGTCTTTTATTGTCACTGTTGATCAATTTAATACATCCTTGCTAAATAAAAAAATAATTTATTTCACTAAAATAATCTTACGGAGTCCAAACTTTTGAATGGTAGTGTATTTCTAAGCTGATAATTGGACAGCTGATATGTGCACTAATTTAAACCTGTACAGAATTTTCAGCATCATTACTGCAGTCTGCAGTGTCACATGACCCTTCAGAAATCATTCTAATATGCTGATTTGCTGCTCAAGAAACATTTCTTATTGTTATCATTGATGAAAACAGATGTGCTGCTTATTCTTTTTGTGGAAACTGTGATATTCTTTTCAGTATTCTTTGATGAACAAAGTATAAAAGAACAGCATTTATTTGAAATAAAAACCTTGTAACATTGTAAATGTCACTGTTGATCAATTTAATACATCCTTGCTAAATAAAAAAATAATTTCTTTCACTAAAATAATCTTACGGAGTCCAAACTTTTGAATGGTAGTGTATTTCTAAGCTGATAATTGGACAGCTGATATGTGCACTAATTTAAACCTGTACACTCACTAAATCATGCTGTACTAGAAAGTATACACATTATATATTGCACAGTATGCAGTGAATAGTACACTATGTAGTATGCCAAGTGTTATGCACAGTAGATTCTTTTATGTGTAAAAATCATTTCAATAATTTAAAAGCAAAAATAAAGCCTATAGATGCTGTACCTGTGTGAGGCAAGAAGGCCATGCTTGCTATTGGCTGGCTAGGTGTTTTCCGCTGTTGTGATTGGTCGGGTTGGCTGGAGGGCGGGCAGTAGATCTGTGTTGGAGTGCTGTGTGTCTGCGGCTGTATGAGAAGCGGTCGAGGGGTCTTGCTCAGCTTGGCCTCCCCGTCCTGCGTTGGTGCTGGGTACATGTGCGTGTGGAGGCACGGCGTGGAGAACGATGTTGGGAAGAAGATGTCTCGCTGGTCTTTACTAAACTTGGGAGTGCTGGGTGCATCACTGGAGCTCTGGGAGACAGATGGGACAGAAAACAGTGCCATGAGAGTTGACGTCATCTCTTTCAATACTTCAATGGAGCCAAAAAAATAGACAGAAACAAAGATTGAAATAAGTTGATGATGACCTTCTGCTCTTTACTTCTTTGAATTCTTACAGTCAATTAGACACAACTCATTATAAATAACCATTATAAATAAAATAAAAATAACTGTTTTCTGTTTGAATAAAGTGTAATTTATTTCTGTGATCAAAGCTGAATTTTCTGCATCATTACTCCAGTCTTCGGTGTCACATGATCCTCCAGAAATCATTCTAATATGCTGATTTGCTGCTCAAGAAACACTTTTTATTATTATCAATGCTGAAAACTTTTTTTTGCTGCTTAATATTTTTGTGGAAACCATTTTTTTCAAGATTCTTTGTTCAAAGTTCAACAAAACAGCATTTATTTGAAATAAAAATCTTTTAAAATATTATAAAAGTTTTAACTGTCACCTTTATTGCATTTATTGTCACATCCTTGTTGAATGAACACATTTCTTTCAATTTTTTTTTTTTTTTTTTACTTTTTACTGCAACCAAACTGATAAATGGATATCACACAATAAATTATAAGCATATATGTAATGAAGTCATGCTGTTGCATACTACAGTTTTAAACTAAACCATTATAAACCAAACAATATTCATTAAGCAGCATTTTAACTCTTAGAACTAGTATAACAGCAATATAGCCACTAAAACAACCAATCAACAAGCAGGAAACACACTTGTTGAGCAAATATCCAATCAAAAGCTCATGCTACAGACTTGAACATCCAATCAGCTGCATCCGTGAGGCCTACCTGTGAACTAGTGTTTCTTTTTGCCCTGCCAAGTGCCCTCTATCAAGATGGACGATGCAGTAGACGCTCGGCAGAAAAAGCAAGCGAACAGGCAAACAAACTAAACAGCTCTGGGTCCTGTGTGTGTGTGTCTTGAGAGAAGCACTCAGGGAAACATACAAACTACACCACAACAGAACCAGCTGTTGCCATAGCAACAAATCCAAACCGCAGCCAATAGCTGATCAAACGACCACGCACTCTCTCTTTCTGCAGAGCTTCGCACTCTTCATCTCTCTTTCTCTCAGAGGTGTTGGACTGGTGCGGACCACATCTTGGTTTTGTGCACTAATGTTCAAAAGCTTCCAGTAGGAAGGATGGAAACTTTCATGAAGCTGCAGCATATGATAAAAGAAAGAACTAAAGTTTTCTTCAGAAGAAAATGAGTGGTGTTTGTATGTGTGAAACTAGAACAAAAAAAAAAAAAGGTTGCTAAGGGGATCTGGGGGGTTGCTAGGGGGTTGTTAGATGTCTGCTTACCAGCCCAAGTCAAAAGACATCACCCCCAAGTTTCAATGAAATTGTGAAGGTCTCTCCTTTAATGCATCTGAGATTTGTTTTGCACAATTTATCATGCGACAGGTCAAATAATGATTTGTATATTATAGCAATGATATTTTTTAACATATTCCGTAAAAATAAGTGTGGTTTTTCAACCCAGAAAGCTATAGCAATACAGGTGGTTGCTACAAGGTTTCTACACATTTAAAAATAAAGGTTATTTATCATTGATGGGTCCATGAAGAACCTTTAACAATTATGGAATCTTTCCATTCCACTAAAGGTTCTTTATAGTGGAGAAAGATTTTTTTCTTCTTCACAATAAGAAAATAAAAGGTTCTTTTAAGAACTGTTCACTGAAGGGATCTTTGAGGAACCAACTATGGTTCTTCTATGGCATCACTGCCCCCCCAAAAAAAAAACTGTTTTGGAGCCTTTATTTATTTTTAAGAGTGTAGGGTGTCCTGGTCAATTTCTAACCTTTATATGATGTGTTTTTTCTGGATTTTTTGGTTGATATTCTGTCTCTATCCGTTAAAATAAACCTACCATAAAAATTACAGACCCATCATTTCTTTGTAAGTGGGCAAACTTACAAATCAGCAGGGGATCAAATAAATATTTTCCCCACTGTATAAACTCAAGGCCTAGGTATCTCTCCTGAACAAGTCGCATGATTTGAGGAATCATAAACGTTTGCAATACAAACAGTGTGAAAGTTACATTCTGAAGTTCAATTTACCATACCAGTTCACAAGCAAATCCCGTACACACCAAGAACAATAACTTCAATAATAACTATATTAGCATCACACTAATGCACAATAATGCTCTGTTTATTATACATCTAAGCTGTAATTACATCTTCTACTGCCTTAAATGCTGAGTTCTTGAAAGCCAGCTGGATTCTGATTGGCCTTTATTGTTCATCAGCTGGAATAAAACATTCTGTAAGTGATTCCAATGATATTGTTCCTCTGAGTCGTTATTGTTATAGCCATGGTTTGGACTTTCAATGAATTAGAACGATAATTAAAACTTTACAGTTAAAGTTGTCCTTGGTGTGAATGAGCATTAACTCATAAGGTATAACAACACTCAATAATGGAATAAACTACTCTTTAGTTAACTAAATGCATAGTAATATGCCAAACATAAGCAGCCATATCTTTTTTCCCCCCCAAGCTGACTTTGTTTTTGAGGCTTGATAGAGATTGTATGAAGGAAAATAATTGGTACACAATGTTTCCCAAATGAGGTGTCTGGTCTAGCCCACAACTCTGACATTACTTAGTAGAAAAACAAAAATGTATCTCTCAGCAACAATATCTGACCCTCTTTCAACATGGCAACAAGAATCTGTTCTCAACGGCACATTTTGACCACAAGGGGGCCAAATGGTCACACTAAAGCAGAGGATAGTCTTAAAACAGTGCCAATGGAGAGAGGCGCAGAAATGAAGAAATTAATTTTGATTTAATGGTAGGCTTCAGTCACACATGTGTAGAGTTATGCTGTATGGAGCGCAGGAGGTGCGCTGGCACAATCCTGTTACTATGGAAACGCTCCTGCTAGGTACAGCGTGCTTTAACATACAAGCAGCACAACCACGCGTTCGGCCGTGTGCACTTATGCACATGAGTGTGTGTGCTTAAATATGGATTAGCCGCTTAACATACTGTACACAAATGTGTATTAGACAACAAAGTGATATGGCAATGAGGCTTTGTGTCAGTTTTGATTTCAGTACACAGAAATGTGACCGTGACCTGCAATTTGCATAAGAGGTGGAATTTTTATTATTTATTAACCATGGTTTCCTCCTAACCAGAGTTAGAGTAGTTTTATGTTCCCATAATAAAACCACTGTAACAATTCAAAAAACAGCAGAAATAAGTGTTTGATCCCACACCATCATGATGTTTACAGTAGAAACAATAACTAGCGACTAGATTTTTTCTGGTGTTTGTTCGCCACCACAATGCTAGGGTGTTGCAGCTAGTTGTCAGAGCATTGCTATTTCATTGCTAAGGTATTCTTGATGTTATACGCACATTTCCATGTGGTTGCTATGATATTCTAGATAGGACTCAGACCTTCAGTATGAGCAATGGTAACAGCAGGCATGTGGTCAACTAAAGACAAGAATGACTATACAATAATAATAATAATAATAATAATAATATAAAATTTAAATAACATAAATATAATAAAATTATTATTATTTAAAAAAAAGTAATTATTACTATTGCAATAATACTATTGCACAGTAAGATGAAAAGTTTAAATTATAAATGTATTACTATAGCCAAAATACTATTGCAATAATAATAATAATAGTAATAATAATAATAATTTAATTAATCTTTATTTTACAGACCAACAGTAAAATTACAAAACTAATATTTATAGTTGTCCTTTTTTTTTTTTAAACAACTAATTTTGGTGGAAAACTGCTGTGAGACCTTAAAGCTTCTCCTTTGTTGACAACAGATTTAAAAGCAATTCTCATTACAAAATTTAGTAGGCCAGTTATTAAGTTCCATATACTTGCCAACACCAATTTTTACTCACATTTGCTGCTTTGCGATTGTTAATTTTGGACCCTGGCTTGAGATTGTAAAGGTGTCACTAGATGGCACTGCTTATGCTGTGCTGTTGGAAGCTATGATAACCATGTGTGAAATACATACATTTTAAATGTGTTTGAAAATGCAGCATTTTTCCCTCCGATTGCGCAGTTCACACGGGTAATGCTTCAGGTTGGTAGATGTTTATAAGTCCCTGTAACATTCATATGTTGTTGTTCACAGTGAGTTTTCATTTTCCCATGCACAGTACAAAACAAATTCACCTGTACATTATGAGAAAAGCCACACAGGAGTATGCACCGTTTGCAACAGTGAAATATTTGCTCTCTATTTGCGTTTTCTCTTGCACTCTAAAAGCCACGCGATGACTCAAATGACACCGAACAACAAACAAAAAAATTCATAACCTCTCAAAACAACAGCAGCTCTTCCTATAGCCTTAAATCACAAGTCTAATTTCACAGCACCTGCAGATGGAGAGACTATACTCTTTATAGTCAGTGAGCAACAGACAGCACAAAGAGACAGCAAGTTAATGAACTCCAAACATGTTAATGGACCTTCAGCAATTACAGCAATTGAGGAATTACAGAGGTTTAAAAGCGGCTGGATGCTGCACAAGTGCTTCAGGATCAATGGGCTTTATGATGAGGGGGTGGTGGAGCCTAGCGGTTAACACTGTGGCAACTAACCACAGGTTTAAACGTTGACTTTTACTCACCCTCATGTCATTTTAAACCTGTATGAGCTCCCATTAAAGTGTCTCCATATTTTAACACAATTATGGAAAGATATGGTCAAAAATGGTTTTTCCCTCCAGTAGAGAGCCGTTCACAATCAGCATGTGCAATAAAGACCAGTTTCACTGCTGACATACAATAGAAGACTTTTTCAAGTTTTGTTTCCTACAATAGATTGCAGATAAATATCCACCTCATCCAATGCTCTTTTTGTTTTCTGACTTATAAAGTATTCCGTTACGCTGTGAGAAAACTCTGCGTATGAATCAAAGCATGAGTGAACTGTCCAAAT